GGCCCTGGGCGCGGCCATGCTGGGTGCGGCACTTCCGCCCTTACCCCAGGGCGGGCCGGGCGCTGGAGGCCGCCATGTTGGGAGTGGCAGGAACAGGCAGATCCCAAATTGACGGGGCTGGAACAAAGGAATCCGGCAGTGAGGGGGCTGGGGGGGCACAGACCCCGAACAGGGGGGACCTGCTGGGGCTCAGAGGGGAGTCGGACCCCGACAGAGGAACCTGACAGGGTTTAAACCCCAAGCTAAGGTACTCTATTGGGCTTAAAAGAGGGTGAGACCCCAAAATCGAGTTGTGGGAACACTCAGAAAGTTCTGGTGGGACCCAATCCCCACCCCGAGGTGGTCAAAGGAAGATTCCAGCCCTGCCCTTGGGCTCAGAAACAACTCAAGGTCCCCCAAGGCAACAAATAAACCACCCACAACCAAAAGCACTTTGTTTTTCCTAATAGTTTAATTAGACTTCAATGATTTATTGCTCATCTGCAAGGATTAATATTGCATTCATTAAAAATCATTCATATACAAAATAAACCTCTCGCTCCCGGCCCAACGCTGCTGCCGCCATCAACCCCGGGCTCCCCCAGCATGGCTTATCCAGACACGAGTCCTTGTGCCGAGACCCCAGCCAGGCTGGCTGGGACCCCCGGGCGTGGGGGGCTCACAGGGAAGGGGGGATGCTCCCCATCCTCCCCACAAACGCCCAGCCCAGCTTGCTAAGCTGTCCCCAGGGAGGTCTGGGGGATGGTGGAGGGGACCCAGGTGATCCCTGGGATCTGTTGGAGAGCGAAGCAGGTGATCCCCAAAATCCATGGAGCGAGCGTCCAGGAGGAGACCAGGCAGGGTGGGAGAGAGGAACAGTCAGAGGACATGGAGGAGGGGATGGGAGGGGGATGATCTCTGCACCTCTCCCATCTCCTGGTCCCCCAAGGAGCTTTGCACCCCCAGACCCGCAAATTCCCTGGGAAGGACCCATCCAAGTGGATCCCTGCAAAGTGGGGAAGGAGCAGCCCCATGACCTGGGACGTGCCAGCAGCTCCTTCCCTCCCTTGGGTGGGGAAAGGAACAGGAGATTTGGGGAGGATAAAAAAAAAAGCCAAGAGGAACCTCAGTGGGTTGGAAGGAGCTTCCCACACCCCAGCACAAGCTGGGAAAGCGGAATGTCAGCAGCATGGAGGAGGCGATGGGAGCAGCTGGGATGCACGGGGAGAGGATGAGGAAAACAGCGACAGGGAGCAGAGGGGCCAGGCTGGGGTATGGGGAAGGCTCATCTCTGCATCCAGCTCAAAATAAAATAGTAAAACACCCCCAAAACCCACCCCAGACACCCTCAACACCACCCGGCACTTCCCAGTGGGAGATGGGAATGAGGCCACATCCCCAGTGCTTCCTCTTTAAAACATCTGAAAACATCCCCTCCCTCTGAAACACCTCTGTAAGGATGAAAAAGGAAAAGGGGAAGAAAAAAACAAATAAACTGAAAAAAAAATGTTTAAAACTCAATTAAGGTGCAGTTTGGCTAAAAAAAAAAAACCAACAAACAAAACAACAAAAAACCTAGGAGAGATGAGGATAATGCTGGGAAAGCGACCCCCATCCGGATTCAGATTAGCACCCTGAAACACTGAACTCCCCTGGACCCAGGTGGCCAGCAAACCCAGGCCAGTGGCCACCAAACCTGGGCCACCTCAGCGCAGGGACCTGGGCTGGGCTT